CTTGCACATAAGCACAAAGGTGAGTATTGAAAAAAAATTCACACGGAATGCAGTGGAAGTTTTCAGTGTTTCTTTTGATCGTCTGCGCCAGTCAAATAATCGTAAGTGTCTTATCACTTTCTTCAACTAAGAAAACGACGTTTGTCTTTATCAAATTCTAGTGCATAAAATATTCAACTTTATACAGGCTGTGCTAAAAGTCAGGCTGCAATTGAAAGAAAACATACACTTTTGAAATAGCAACCAGTGGAAATTTGCATAATATCGTCTTCCATAAATCGACCAATAAAACTTCCTAATAATATTTTGTCACAGAATGATTATTTTATTTGGTAAATAAATGTTAAATTTACAAAACTTTTCAATGATATTGCGACTTTTGAAACTCTATAGATTACAGTCAGTAGCGTGCAGAAGGGAGCAGGGGGTGCAACGGCCCCGGGCATCCAATCAAAGAGTGAAATAAAAAATTGGTTTATATTTAATTTGAATGAAGTATTTATTTCATGTTTCATCTGTTTTTACATATTTAAAATGTCTTCCTTTCTCACATTTCTCAGTCCTAGGGCCCCCTACTTGAGTCTTAAGGGCATACAATCAAAGAGTTTGCCCCGGGCATCACCAAACTTCCGCACGTCACTAATTAGAAACGATTATCCCGACACTTTAGGGCAGGGGTTGAAAAATATGTTCTGATAATTCAAAATTACAGATAATTGAATACCTAAATTATCAAAAAAGAATGAAGAAAATAGTTATTTTCTGAAAGAAATTTAGCATTTATATCATCAAATAACATTTTTAAACACACTGTTCTAGGTTTTGCCGCCATTATTTTTTTATGAATAGTGTGTCAGGTTTTGCGTTTCCGGCTGGCCTTGCGTTTTTCCGTTAACGCATAGCTGGATTAAAATAGATTTATAATTTCTGACGTGACTACGCTGTGATAATTCCAAATGTAGTTTTTTTTTTTTGTATGAACGAGGAAATTAACAAGAATTAATTGAAATGATTTTATCAGCATTTTTATCAAAAACAAAACGCTTATCTGTGATGAAATATTTTTAGCCCGGAAAATAGATAAATGTTTGGATAATTTCAATTTTTCTATTCATTTCACGAAGTTCAGAAACTCGAGGTACGGATAATCGAGTAAGTACTGTACGTAAGCTTTTGTCAAGACGAGAATGATTTCATTTCTTTATTTTCTTCGATTTCTGAAAAAAAAAAAAAAAAACAAACTTTTAATGATCGACAGTAGAGTTTCCATTTTGGATATTCGTTCTGATTATTATTCAACAAACTCTGGTGATCTCTCCTTGTCGAGGTGGAGGGGCTTACGTGAATCATTGACGATGTCGTCTGGAGTTCATTTTTGGCGACAAGGTCAAAGACGATGACCCCAGACTAAGCTCGACCAACTCTAAAGATCCAACGTTGGCGCAAGCGGATGATGATAACAATAGATCTCAACAGTCGAACCAATGGATGAAGAGGGCTACGCATTGACAAGCATGTTACAGAAAGCGCCACTCGAATGCGACACTCCATTGTAGTTTCATAATTAGATTCTACATGTATTATTCCCTATGTGTTGTAGAGGAAGGTCATGAAATCAAGTATGTGGGTCACTTCCTGACTAGCTGTGTTCCACCATAAACAAATTCCGGCCATCTGCACTTTCTTCTACTCTGATTTTCTTTCGCCTCCAACTGATTCTTGCAAAAAAAAAAACGGCGATAGGGAATGGATGATGGAAGTTTTGGTGAAACTAGAAGCGTCTGGTCCTGAACCTGCATGTTGGCGACGAATTTAGTCATCATTATCATAAATGAAGCGATCAGCAAAGCCGACGGTAATTCAACAAAACACAGCCAATCAGATTTCGGCTTTTATAAAAACCTATTTTTTTCTTTGCTGAGTCATTTTCATGTCTTTTATGCTTTCTTTAATGGCGTTGGTATTTTTATCGCACTATATAATGGAAGAAAATTCATCTTCTAAAAGTAAATCGCTATAAAGTTTGACGATATTATCAGCTGTGCTAAGGCAACAAGTTTTCAACTTTCAACACTAAATGATTTAGCGTTACAAATGCCATAATATTTGAGCGTCCTGGGTAAGACGATAAACTATAGGGTCCATGTCACAGATTTTTTCGTCTCATCCACGTCTTCAAAATCGTCAATTCCTCAGCAGCCTTGATCATTTCACAGGTTTCTGCAACTTTATTCCATAACGAATCAAGTTGGTCTTATGTTCCGACTGCATTGTGTGAATTTGTCAAATGTGACAAGGTGTGAGTCGCAAGTACCAGCCTTTTCGACTTGAAAGCAAATGATTTGGTGTTTTAACTTATTGTAAATATCGTTAGGATGTATTTTTAAGAGACAATTATCTAGAATGATGAAAAACACCTTAAAAGATTCTCAAAACTTCTGGAGTGTAACTTGTATACACATACGAACTCAGGTACCTGGTCGAAATCGTCATTTCCTTTGTATTCCAAGGGTAAGGATACGATTTTAATTTAGCCAGTTTCTTTCCAAGAAGTGTTACTTTGTGGAACAGACTCCCGAGAGGATGCTTCTCTGATCATTAAGATCACAACTTCTTTAACTGTAGGGTCAACTGTTATTTATTCTACATATCCTAATAATACGCACTTTTTACTTTCCCTTTTCAAGTGTACGGTCAACCGTTATATAACCTACATATCATCATAATATGTTCTTCTTCTTCCTTTTATGCCTTTAGAACAACCCCATTCAGTAATCCTCTACCTCGAGTGGCACTTGAGCCTTGTATTGGGTGAACTATAGTATTAAAAAACGAGCTGTACAAAAGTTTCAAGAATTTAAAAAAGTTCACCGTGTTTCCGTGTATCCCTAGATATCAATTCCACTGAACATATGTGAAGTATTGGACCAAAAGTTCTGCTGAACTTTCATCACGTAACTTGCAACAGTTTAACTTGCAAACTTTTGATAAATTTTTGGCTGCAAATCCCAAAAGAAAACTTCAAGTGTCTTGTAGAGCTCTTGAATGATCAAGTAAGAGCTGTCTTACAGGGATATGGGGGTGGAGACCAATACCTTATTAGGCAAGAGATCAAAATGTTTTGGTATAATTATAGGATTGCTCAATTCTTTGAGGACATTTGCAGGAATTGAGTAAAAGATGAATAAGTCACGAAAGAAGTGCTTTATTTGAGAAAAATTGACATGAACCATCTTGAGACTCTTATTGGCGCATCTACTCAATTAATCCGCCATTAGCATTGGTGACTGCTTCAATATGAGATTTGAAACGTTGATATGCCCGAATCAGATGATAGTGGACTTCAGAGATTTTATGGTCTTATGGAGGTGTTGATTGACTTCCCTCTCGACTACGACCCATACGTAGTAATCCAACGGATTCAAGTCTGGAGAGCGAGGAGGCCATGTGTTTGGAGTGACGTCGTCGTGAATATTGTAACTCATTCATCTTGGCTCGTCTCGAACTTATGAGACGGCGCAGAGTCTGGTTAGTAAGTGTACGTTCTTCCTTTGATCACGCTCTCTATCCAAGGTCTCACAACCATCTCAGACACCTCCTTATAGTCAGCAGCATTAATCTTTAAGCCCTGAGGAAAAAAGTGATGTGTCATAACATTTCCCTCGTTGTTCAGGACTCTAAGAAGCATCACAGTTGGCAGAAACTTTGTGCGCATTATCGTCTTTGCATTTACCATCCTATTTTGACCTTTTGGTCAAAGTTTTTTTCACTGAAATAAAAAAAAACCCCAAAGCATTCCAGACTCTTGATGTTTTAACTTGCTCAGCAAGCACTTTGTGCAGGTGAGACGGTTATCTTTTTTCTTTGCAGACATGGATTGGTCTATCCGCATCACATATGACTCGTATCGGAGGTTCTCATTCACAATTCTTCCGATAGAGTCCCTTGAAACCTTGAGCTCCTTAGCAATGGCGTTAATTCAATTTCTGTGGTTCTTATCGATAATTTTCGACACATTTCGTACAAATTTGGATGTTTTGATAGTATTAGAACCCTTAGCAGGCATTTTACATTTGTTGAATTCTTTAGAATCCCCGTCAGCGTCTTCCAGTTCCTTGCAAACTTTGACAGAACATTATCATTGATAACTCTCTCCTCTAATTTGCGGACCCTAGTTACTATATTCTTAATATTTGATTTAATGCAAAAATATCATAAAAATAAAATCGATCAATAATTATTTACAACTATTTATATTGGAACTCATGCATACAATTACAAGTAACCCATAATAACATTTTAAATTTTGAAATCATATTTATTTTTGGCATATGAATTTTTTTTAAAACTGTATCTAAATTCCGCCTTAGAATTTCCGTGAGAATTTAATTCTGCTATCCTATTGCGCTGCACCTATGATGCGCACTGCACTTTTTGGGAACCACTGATTTACAGCGTGCCTGTTTATTTGCCGAGTTAGATTGATGATTGTCATCATTTATCTGAAAAGAAATGATAATCAGAACAAATTAGAAAAAAGAGCCATTAAAAGACATGCTCTCAAGAAACAGAACAACCCTATATAATGTTTTTAGATATTATACACAACTTTGCTTGTACTGCTCCCCCATAAGCATATATATATATATATATATATATATATATATATATATATATATATATATATTATTATTATTACACAATGCTATACATATAGCCCTTTCAAGCCAGGCATGCTTTATCATTTAGCCACGGAAGTCATTATAGCAAACGCATTACACAGAATTTTTCCACTTTTATCGACCTGGGAACTTTTCATTCAGTAAAGCCATTGTTGCATTGGCTGTGTGGCATGTGGCGCAATCCTGTTGGAACTAAAAATCTTCGGTATCCATAGAATTCAATTCAAATTGAAATTGACAAAGATTTAAGGTGTTAAATCTGAAAGAAAAAGAAAAAAAAATCGTTAGACGCTTAAACTTAATTCACATTTGAAATAGGTCCAAGTTATTGGAACACCCTTTATATATCATATTCTCCTATCTATCTATCTATCTATCTATCTATCTATCTATCTATCTATCTATCTATCATATAATTCGGTTTATGGCCATATTACATTGAAACACCGATCGAGCCTGGTCAGTATCTAGATCGGTGATCGCTTGAGAATGCCAGGTGTTTCAAGTTTGGATGTGCGGGTGGTGTAATGGATAATGGTTCGGAATTGTTAATCGGAGAGCCGAGTTCCAATTCCAATTGGGTTCTTTATATTCACTTACGCGCAAATACCCTTGGGAAAAGTATGGCTCCACCTGTTCTCCTCAACCTATAGGTTAATTAGTAAGACTTGTATCAATAAATCATTATTATCTCCCCCCTCCAAAAAAAAAAAAAAAAATCTTACAATCCGAAATATTTTCTGGCTTTAAATAACATTTCCTTTATCCTCCCACTCTTCCCAAGACTGCAATATATTAGATGCAATAGCTGACAGTATAGAAATGGCACTTTCTCTCTATCCATCTGCGAACATCTTTGTCTTCGGTGACTTTAATACTCACCATGACACGTGTGTGAAACATTCTAAAGGTACTGATGTTGCCAGTACATAGACATTAAGTTTTTTCCATTGCTCAATCCCTTACTCAAATTGTGGACTTCCCTACGCGTCTCCCTAGCCAAACCGAGGAAGAGGCTTCTCTTCTGGATCTATTTCTTACCTCCTCTCCTTGGTCTTGACGAGCCTCGTAATACTGCTCTCTTGGTAACTTGGACCACTCTGTGGTATCTAATGATATCTCCTTTTAAACATCCATTAAACAGGAACCCCCAATTCAGAAAACCTCTTTCCGTTACCGGCATACTGATTGGGACTCATTCCGGGATTTTCTTCAACCAGCCAATTGAAAATTACGCCACTGATGTTTCTTCTTGGGTCAAAGACGGTATGGACGCTTTCATCCCTTCTCTGAAATACCAAGTGAAACTGCAATCCTTCTCCATGGTTCACGCCAGCATGCTCGGTTGTCATAGCACAGAGGAACCACTATTTTCGGCTATACCGGTGAGACACCTCTCGTCATAACATGTGCTTATTCGTTACTGCTCGTAATAAATGTAAGCGAGTCCTCGAAGGAGCTAAGTCCCTGTTTGCTGAGAGAATGAGGCACCGTAGAGCCTCAAACGGCTTTGACTCTCGATTACTGGTGGCTCTGTAATTTGGTACTAAATAAGTACAAGGTCTCTATTCAGCAACACTTCGAACAATTTGAGGTGTTATCATCCTCTATTGAGAAAAGCTGAATGCTTTACCTGTAAATTCTCCTCAAACTCTACAGTTGACTCATCTGAAGTATCCCTGTCTAACTTCCCACTAAGAACTGAATCTCTGTTGAGCGATATGCATATAACCCTTTCCATGGTTTCATCTCTAACCTTGATCCCCACAAAGTATGTGGACCCGATGGTATACCTGTAATAGTCCCTGTGCTCTTGAACTGGCTCCTGTTCTCTCTAAACTGTAAAAATTCCTCGCTGCACCCCCAGCTTTCCTGCATGCTGGAAGTCATCGTCTGTTGGTCCAGTTTGTAAAAACACGCGAGGACCTTGTTTATTTGTTAAATATCATAATACATCAGAAAATTCGAGTCGCAAGACCGTGAAATACTCACATGCACTGTTAACATTTTTTCATTTGTAGGAGACTGATCATTGAGATGTAGGAGTTTGGTGATGCACGGGGCCAACACCTTCATTGTATGCCCTAAGACTCAAATAGGGATGGATAGATACTCCGGTCTCGCTTATCAAAACACGTATCTACATTCCCACCATGAGACTGTAGGGCACTCATACACGAAGTTAACAGTGACAATTTCAGATTTCAAAAACTAAATTTTTATTTCATTTTTTTGATTGGATGCCCTCCCGATATGCATGACCGAGGTCGTCGTAACCTGTGCCCCCCACCACTTCTGAATGTTACTGAGGTCGATGCTGCTTGGGAATAATTCTGATTTTTATCGAGCGTTAATATGCCGTCTGGTGTCAGAAGTTCTTTTAGATGTAATTATCAGGTCATCCCATAAGTTCTGTCCGAATTTTACCTTTTTTTTTAATTTAAAATGAACGAAGTTTAAAGAGTATTTTATGAACATTATTTTCATGTTTAGATGCATTTAAACTGATCAAATTTTATTTCAGAGAACAATAAAATTAAATTTTGTTTGATTAAAACCCTGCTAACATGGAAGTACCCAAAAATCATTTGAGGCACATAATGCTTTATGAGTTCAAGAAAGGAAACGCAGCAGCCGAAGCATCTAGAAACATTCACTCAGTTTATGGAGAGGAATGTGTGAATGAAAGAACTTGCAGATGATGGTTTGCAAAATTCAGAGGTGGAGATTTCACCCTTGAAGATGAAGATCGAACCGGACGTCCAGTTTGATGAAAAGCTTCTTGAAGCAGCCCTTGAAGAAAATCCTGCTTTATCAGTTGAGGAATTGGCAGTGGTTCTCAGTTCAAACCATACAACTGTTCATCGTCATCTTCAACAACTTGGAAAACTTCCTAAACTTGAATTGTCTGAAAACAACCTCAAATCTCGAGTTGACATCTGCTCTTCTCTCCATTCTCGCCAACTTGTTTCACCTTTTTTTGGATAGACTTGTGACTGGCAACGAAAAATGGATCTTTTATCTAAATGTTAAGCGTCGTAGACAGTGGCTTGGTAAAGGGGAAGGAACCCAGCCACAGCCGAAAAGGGAACTTCATGGGCAAAAGGTTCTTCTTTCAATCTGGTGGGATCGCCAAGGAATAATCCATTTTGAATTCTTACCACCTAATGCAACAATTAATGCTCAAATATACTGTCAACAATTAGAGCGCTTGAACCAAGCTTTGAGGAAAAAAAAGACCTGCTCTAGTGAATCGAAAAGAGGTGATGTTTCATCAGGACAATGCGCGACTCCACACAGCAAGAATCACGTCACAAAAGATCGAAGAACTTGGTTGGGAGAAAATTCCTCATCCACCTTATTCTCCCGATCTTGCTCCTTCAGACTACTATTTGTTTCGTAGCTTACAGAATCATTTGGAAGAAACAGTTTTTGTAACACAGGAAGAGGTGAAAACTGACATTTGTGAGTTCTTCGAATCAAAGCCAAAAGAATTTTACAGTAATGGAATTAGTAAGCTTGTTAATAGATGGAAGGAAGTCAAAGATAATCAGGGAAAATACACTGTTGATTGAATCTGTAATTAAATGTAACATTTGGTCACTTGTTTTCTTTATTCAAAATTCAGACAGAACTTATGGGATGGCCTTCAGTCGTGCTTATGATCACCGAAGCTACAGAATCCATTTGTCTTGTATAGTGTAGGGAAATTATTATTATTATCATTATTAATAATAATAATAATAATGAATATCATAAATAAAATAAAATAAAGCAAATAACATTAAAACTTTGTTTAAAATAAATTAAATAAAAAAAAAAAATTCTCCCAGCACGCAACAGAAACATTTCCTGCATGAAAAAGACGTTGAATTCTGCTTTTGCAACTGACCGTTGGAGGGTCAAGACGTCCAACTTCTCTCTCCGGGAAATTGCTTGTCATAATACGAAGTGACTTCTTCCTTTTACCACATGCACCCTTAAACCACTTGTAATTGAAATACACACTCCCCAGTACACAAATAAATAAACTGTATGATTTTAATTTACAATTTAACATGCGTTTAGTGTTATTTCTGCCTATGTTTTTATTTCGTGTGAACACGAGGCTGTTTTTGCTGCTATGATGTGAGTGACCCCATATCATTTGGTGATCAAAGATGTGATAAAAAATAACCTATTCTCCACATCATTTGATGACACCCAACATACAAAAAAAAAAACTTCCTGTTCATCCATATTTGTGACACCCGACGTACAGAAAGAAAAAACAGTTCCTATTCACCACATCATTTGGTGACACCCCACGTACAAAAAAATAAATAAAATAAAAATAAAAAATAAATAAATAAATAAAATAAAATAAAATAACAAAAAAAACTTCATATTCACCCACAGCAGTTGTATAGTGGTTATAAAAATACCGTAAATAAATTTAAAAAAATACAAGTAAATCCTTTATTTTTATTCTAGGAACGAATTCTGTATTAAGAAATCAAAACAATTTTCTTCTTCTAATAGTGTTCAGACAATGGCTGCATTATGTTCGGCAACGTACAGTATACGAGATGTCTGAAACCGTCTTCGAAGGTTATTAAATCTGGTTTTGATGCTCATAAAAAAAAGTGGATCGTTGATTTCCATAATGAAAAAAGGAGAGAGGCTTCTGCAACTAAAATGATGAAAATCGTAAGTATAATTTCTAATAACTTGAAACTTGTATGTTAAATGCATAAACATTATTATTAACTTCTCATATAAAAGGATTTATTTTTCCTCGGAAGGAATGAAAGAAGAGAAGGCGTTCATTCTCGTTTCCCGAATGTTAAAAAAAACCCAAAAAAAACAAACAAGACTTTAGACTATCACGTGAAATTTAAAAGAACAAACATTTATTATAAAACATATTAAAACAATAAAACAAATACAATATTTTCCAAGATGGACTTGCACAAAAAATTCCTTTTGTGCGACTTATATAAAACAGGCTAACATGTCAAGAAATATACACGTGATTTTAAACGATTTCAAAGCAATCTTCGAAAAAAAAATCTTTGAAAAGGTAATACAAATTTTTGATAAAATAGGAAATATTTTTGAAAAAAAGATTTGCGCCCACCTAATAGGAAGACGAAAAAAATCACAGAACGAAGTGTTATAAAATAAAATGACATATCTCGGCTGATTTGCAGGCAAATAAACTAACATATTCAAGAGCGACAAGGCCCCGTCACAAAATGACCATTATCGTCGTTTACGCATAGGCCCGACGCACGAGTTCCGGTCGAAAAATAAAATAATATTTTAAAGTGTTCCTATTTCTCGACCAATAAAAATGATTCCCTTCTAATTATACTCGCGTCGTTTTTCGAGCCTGTAAAGCCATAAAAAAACGCCATAAAAGGGGTCACACGGG